GAGAGAAGAAAGAATTAACTGTCCAGTTGGAATTAGGGATGTAGCTCAGTGGTAGAGTACTTACCTGGCATGCTAGGCTCTGGGTTCCATCCTCTATACCACTGACCCCTCCTCAAAGAAAGGAAAAAGTGAGGCTGGAGAGTTGGCTCAGTGTTTAAGAGCACTAGGTGCTCTTGCAGAGAACCTGGGTTCATTTCCTAGCATACACATGGTAGCTAACAACTGTCCTAACTCCAGGTCCAGAGAATGTGATGCCCTCTTCTGGCTCCTGTGGCATTGCACAACACAGTGCATTTACACACATATAGGCAAAACACTCATACACATAAAATAAAAATAATTTAAAAAAATAGAGCCAAGCACAGTGGTGTACACCTTTAATTCCAGCACTTGGGAGGCAGAAGCAGGCAGATCTCTATGAGATCAAAGCCAGCCTGATCTACATAACGAGTTCCAGGCCAGCTGGGGCTTCAGGGAGACCCTGCCTCAAAACAAAGCGAAATAAAGAAATAAAGAAAGAAAGAAAGAAAGAGAGAGAGGGGGGGGAGGGAGGAAAGAAAGAGAAAGAAAGAAAAAAATTCAATGAAAATATGTATACAATTCCCTCAAGCCCCTTGGTAATTCTTCCCTCTGTCTGTCTCTTCTCCTTAAGTCCCAAGTAAGCACTGACCTGTCACTGTAAAGTATTTTGGCTTCGTTCAGCTGAGTTGCTTTGATGTTCATCCATGTTGTTGTGTGTGTCAGTAATCCATTCCCTGTTATTGTTGAGTAGCAGTCCATCACATAGTTGTATACAATTTGTTATGTATTCATCTGATGATGGACATTTGGATTGTTGACAGCTCGTGGCTACTACAAATAAAGTCACAAGCCAAGCATGGTGACGCACGCCTTTAATCCCAGCACTTGGGAGGCAGAGGCAGGTGGATCTCTGTGAGTTCAAGGCCAGCCTGGTCTACATAGTGAGTTCCAGGACAGCTGGGGCTACAGGGATGACCCTGTCTCAAAAAAAAAAAAGACCAAAAAAAAAAAAAATACAAAGTCACTGAACAACCAAAAAGAGATTTGTATGAATTCATATCAGTAATATTCTTAAAGTTTTGTTGCTTAACTTTTTAAAAAATATATTTTAGTTATTTTTCTTTTATTTATATATTTTATGTGTATGAGTGTATTGCCTGCATGTATATGAGAGCACCCCTGTTCTGCATGCCCGAGGAGGTCAGAAGAAGCTGTCAGATCCCCTGGAACTAGAGTTACAAACAGTTGTTAGCTACCACGTGGGTGCTGGGAGAACCTGGGTCCTCTACAAGAGTAGCCAGTGCTCTTAATGGCTAAGCCATCTCTCCAGGCCCTAAAGTTTTTTTTTTTTTAAAGACATGGTCTCACTGTATAGCCCTGGCTGACCTGGAACCCAGAGATCTACCTGTCTCTGCCTCCCAAGGGCTGTTAAAAGCATGCTCCACCATGTCCAGCAGTTAATATTTGACATTTTAAGTCCGCATTGTCTACTAGTCTCATGCATATATTTGTATAGGATTATTCGAATATTGAATATATTTCTTCGTAGTTCCTAAAACTTAGAATAATGTTATTTGCTGTTACTTGTATGATCATTGGATTTTAGTTCTTTTGAGTCCATGAATTTGAAATGGTGCAGCACTCACTTGCCCAGCACGAGTGAGTACCGGGGCACTATTTAGCACTGCAGAAAATATTTTTTTAATAATAGATTCCTTAATATTGCCCCCTTAAGAATCCAACTTATTCAGACTGAATCACGTTGCTGTAATGATGCGAATTTCTTCCTGAGCTGTAGACTCCAAACCTGAAAAGAAGAAAGGAGAGGACTGGGCTGCCTGTGGCACACAGCCTCCTGTCAGGGCATGCACTCCGTTCTGCTCTATTTGAATCTGGGCTGTGCTTTCTCAACTCCACCCTCAAATGTTCTCTGCATCTTTTTCCTTCTCAAATATAATTCTTGGAAAAGTAGGTTAGAGGATGAAGAGTAATATAGCAGTGAATATATAACATTTTCAAACACGAAGTAACACTTGCTCACAGACAGCAAATGTCTGTGGACTTGCTCAGTTTAAGAATAAGCGTCTGCAAACTGAACCTGAATGAGGTTTCTACTGTTTCAAGGTGTGCTTTGGTAGCTTGCGTAATCACAGCCAACGTGTGTCTCAGTCAGTCCTTTTACAGCCAAGGACTCAGGGGTTACTGCTGGGAGGCCAGCTTTGGAATTCTGTGAACCCTGAGGGACAAGAATAACAAGGTCAAGGGTTCCCTTCCTACCACAGTGAATGGGCCGATTCACTGAACCTGTCTGCAGGCAGAAACCACACAGGAGTGTGCACCATGAAGGGCTGAGTTGGGTGGACTGGCCACTGGGTTCAGCCATGTCCTCAGATGGGGCACATTTCTCAGAGGTCCACATTGTGTGTAGTTATGGAAACACAGTTCATAAAGGGACAGCCTTGCTTTCTAACCAAATCCTCCCAATGATTTCAGCCAAATTATTTTTAGAATTTTTTTCTAAGGAGATCTGACTTGCCAAGAATAGAGTGCTTGATTTCCAAATAATTGAAGTGAATTTTGTTAGTTTTTTAAATCTCCAACAAGGAATTGTTTATGGGTTTAAAAGAAATGTTAAAGTAACAGAATATTCCAGTATCTGAAACGACACAGTAATGGAGTTCCATTCTTGGCCATGGGCAGGCTTCTCGTGTGAAGGATTTTCTTTTTTGTTTTTTTTTTTGTTTTTTTTTTTGTTTTCATGTTGAGATTTGGGAGTTTTAGCATCATTGGGGTGGGAACCTAGTGAACTTAGTGAGGAAAATGAACCCTGAATGCTCAGAATGGTTCTACCACAGCTGTCTTCTATCTAGCACATCATCTGGTTGGAGCTTCCTAGACTCACAAAGTTTAGGGAATAGTATGCAGCCCTGGAACCTCATAGCATGTGACCTCATCAGGCTGTGTTTTTGAAGGGAGTTCTCTGTCCCCACTATGCTCAAGGTTTAGACACTACTTTCAGCTTGTGGCTATAGAGCCAGTTTTTCTGGGACACCCTGGAGAAAGCAGGGAAGTTACCTGATTTCTACATTTTAGAACGAACCCTGACACTCATAAAAAAGTTGACCCAGAAGAGAATGTATTGGAAGTCCAGAGAAGTGATAAGGATATGATCAAGGCCAGGAGGGTGTGGAATGAGAGAGTGGAGAAAGAGACCTTCCTCAGAGGCCCAACCAGCAGAATTCGTGTGTGGTCCAGGGAAAGTTCTCCTACCTCTGGTGAACAGACTTAGGGAACATGTGTCCATGACCTTATACTTTGTCCCATGGGTCTTTTCCCGAGGGCAGGACAGCACAGTTATGGCCCAAGGAAGTAGGGTGAGTAAGGTTCATGATCCACCTTCAGGGTGGCCCACACGATGGTACCAATGCACAGCAAGGGACTTCATCATGGATATGACATATAGGTGACAGGTCCACTATGGATGGATGGGTGGGTGGTAACCAAGAGGTGGGACTACAAGGTCCCACTGTTGAGCTCGCTCTTTTACATGTGGAATATGAAGTGCCTGATGGAGCACTCATGTCTAAGAGGAGACTGAAGTTCTGAGATGGAAGACGAGGGAGGGGCAGGGTGGGCTGCCAGTCTAAACAGCTGTCCAAAAGGCTCTCAAGGCATGACTGAGTCACTTGTGCAGAAGTGACAGCTGAGGCCATCATGGGCTCTGTGCTCCTTTTCTCTTTTCCCTTATTTTACCACAGTCTGCACCGCCATCCCTTCTCTACAGCTGTTAGTTGCCATAAGAATGCCTTGGTATCTAGCCACTGTCCTCTAGGGTGGACCACCTGCACTTTCTGGTGTGGCTTCATGTGGTGGTGGCAGTTATTCCAAATGACTGTCTCTGTTGCCTGATTTGTATTCATCAGTCCCATTTGCTTTCTGAAGTAGGTAGATAGGTTGGCAGAGAGACTCTTGTTCGTCTTTATCACAGGAAAGTGGCCACACTTTAAGCACAATGCCCCAACTACAAGAGGGCAAACCAAGTAGTCACTCTGCTGTTTTCTGGAGGGAGACTCCTTTTCCCTGGAACAGTCTCCTGTCACGTGACTGTCTCTGTTTCAGAGATACAGTATCATCCCAGGAGATCTGAGGCAGAACACTGTCCCTGCTGCAGTTTCCCCTTGTGCTAATATTTTCCAGAACAAATACAGAAACTAAAATAAGAAAAAGAAAACCATTTTCTCTATGACTGACCAATAATGAGATTACTCTGGGGATTAAATAAAAATAAATCCCCTGTTCCTATAATTAGTTACTGTGATGAACGAAGTAATCTTTTGTAAGAGAAATCAGCTGTGTAGAATTTGGCTGAGGAAATTAATGTGAAATAGGCCAGTGTGAGGGACTGGAGAGACTACTCAGTGGTTAAGAGCACTTGCTGCTCTTGCAGGGGACCTGAGTTCAGTTCCTAGCACCATAGCAGGCAGCTCACAACCACTATAACTCCATCTCCAGGGAATATGACGTGCTCTTCTCTGAGGACAGTGCACTGACATACACATACCCATACACAGACATATGCAGACATACACATAAGTACAATAACAAAAATAAATCAGTGGCAGGCATGATGGTGCATGCCTTTAATCTCAGCACGCAGGAGGCAGAGACAGGCAGATCTTTGTGGAATTGAGGCCAGCCTGGTCTACATAGAGTTCCGGGCAAATTGTGGCTGCAAGGAGACCCTGTTTCAAAAAGACCAAAGAAAGAAAGACAAATATGAATCTGAAGACAGAGTAGATCTTCTTAACATGTAGAGAAAGTTTTTTTCTCAGATGTTCCCTCTGAACCTGCCCTGGGGACCCATTTTACTCTTGGAGTGTCTTAGGTAGCCTTGTACCATTTGCTTCCATTTTGTTTCTATCCCTGTCTTTGCAAAACCACATAATGACTTCCCCTCATGTGTCTGGTTTTGTTCATAGGTCACGTCCTGATAGAGATTTCAAGCACCCACAAGAAGCTCAATGAGACTCTGAATGAAAATGTACGTGGACTATTTTTATATTGACAAATAATAAGGGTTCATTTTTAAAATTTATTTTGCCTGAAGTTCAAAGCTAATGTGATTTTCTTTTTCATTTTGTCAACAGTTCAAAAAATTCCATAAGGAGATTATCCATGAGCTGGAGAAGAAGACAGAACTTGATGTAAAGTATATGAATGTGAGTGAGTTTTCCTCCACCCCAGCCACCACCTGAGCTTTCAGCCTAGGACTCTCCCATTGTTTAGTCAGCTGCAGCAAGTGTGGGTGGAGCTTGGTACTGACACAGACTTGAGTATAGAAACCAACAAGGAACCCTGGGGCTAAGCAGTCAAATGCTCTGCCACTTAGCTACAGTGGGTCCGTTTCTGCCACCACTTGGTATGTGTATTTAAAAGTATAGAAAAGGGGCTGGAGAGATGGTTCAGTGGTTAAGAGCCCTGGCTGCTCTTGCAGAAGACCCAGGTTCGGTTCCCAGCATCCACATGGCATCTAACAACCATCCTTCATAACTCCAGTTCCAGGGGATCTGACACCCTTTTCTGACCTCCATGGGCATTGCGTGGGTACACATAAATACATGTAGGCAAAACATTCATACACATAAAATTTTAAAATATATATATAAATAAGCTGGGCAAGGTGGCACATGACTATAATCCCAACACTCAAGAGACTGAGACAGAAAGATGGTGAGTTTGAGACCACACTGATCTACATAGAGAGTTATAGGCCAGCTGGGCCTACAGGGAGACCCTGTCTCCAAAAGACCAAAAAATAAAAAAACGTGTATGTGTGTGTGTACATGCACGTGCGTGTGTACATACATCCAGTGCCCTTGGAGGCAAGAAAAGTATGTCAGATCCTCTGGAGCTGTAGTTACAGTGGTTGTGAGCCACCCAGTATGGGTGCTAGGACCCCCAATTTCAGTCCTCTGAGAGAGCAGCAAGTACTCTTAACCACTGAGTTATCTCTCTGACCCTCTTTCTTTTTTTCCTTTTCTGTTTTTGAAAACACAGACTCATGTAGCCCAGGCTAGCCTCAAGCTGGTCATATAGCCAAGGATGACCCTGAACTCTTGTAATCTCTCCCAGTACAGAGATTACAGTCATGTACCATGCCTGGCTCACTTTCTGATTTTTCTCCCTACCAAAACCCCTCACCTTTCAAATTAGATGGGAAATATGGATTTTAGAGAAATTAGGTTTACACTAGTAATAAAGAATGAAGCTAAAATTGTAACCTAGTCTCCAGATACTATGTTCTTTAACACTGTGCTGTACAGCACCCAAAATACCCATAAATAATCAATTGCATTCTTTCTCTTGAAATTTTAAGTCATAAAATAGCCAGAGCATGTGCATGTGTGTGATGTGGCGTGTGTGTGTGTGTGTGTGTGTGTGTGTGTGTGATGCTGGGGATAGAACTGAGGGTCTCACATATGTTAAGTTAGTACTCTACCACTGAGTTACAGCCCCAGCTCTTTCATGTTCATGTATTTGTCAAAACATTGACTGACAACCCAGTGTCTGAAAACCTTTGAGGAAAGGGGGTTGTAGGAAAGTGAAAACATTCCTATTGTTAGAGAGCTAGCTGCCCTTATGATCAGGGGCCCCTCGTATGAAGAGGCATAGCAGAACGGACAGCTCCTAACCCTTCAAGTTAAATAGACAGGGCCCTGTAGGTGTGGATGTGAGGATGGCATGACACTCCCAAGGGTCCCAACAAAGGTAGAGTCATGTGGGTATGAGGATGTCAAGGCCAGTCAGCCACATACAGTGGAAGTGTGAGCAAAAGTGACTGTGTGACAGCTTGTATGGCACCACAGTAAAGCAAGCACAACACCTAACTTACAGGCTACTCTCAAAAGATACCAAGCAGAACACAGGAATAAGTTAGATTCTCTGGAGAAATCTCAAGCGGAACTGAAGAAGATCAGGAGAAAAAGTCAAGGAGGCCGAAACGCACTCAAATACGAACACAAAGAGATTGAGGTAAGCTTTTGGATGATATTCATTTTCTTTGTTGGTCATATATGTACAGTTTAAGGGGAGGCTTACCTCAGTCAACTCTACTGTATCACTCGCATCTCTGCTACTGCTAGGTAAAAATAAACATTCCAGATCTCTGTGAGTTGAAGGCCAGCCTGGTCTACATAGTGACTTCCAGGACAGCTGGGGCTACAGGGAGACACTGTCTCAAAAAGACCAAAAATAAATGAATAAATAAACATTCCAAGATGAGTATGGTGACATGAATTGGGAGGATCTTACATTCTAGGCCAGCCTGGGCTACATAGTGAGACTCTCTCTCAAAGAGCAAACAACCAAAAGAATGAGCATTCTGACTTAGCACTGCAGGGTTTTCCAGAGTTAAAAATAATTTTAGTATATGCTATTTATTGGCATTTCCCCCTGGCTCAGGGAAAAGAAAGGGTCCTTTGATTAGCATGATTGTCCCCATTTTTTTTTTGTTGTTTTGGTTTTTGTTACTGTTGTTGTTGCTATTTGAGACAGGGTCTCACTATGTAACCCTGGCTGGCCTAGAACTCATATATAAACCAAGCTGGCCTTGAACTCACCGAGATCTATCAGCCTCTGCTTCCGGGGTGCTGGGTTTTAGGGCATATACAACCAAGCTCAGCATGACTGCCCTCATTTTATTGTTGGAAAATGAGATTTAGGTTAAGTCTTATAGTCAAGCATTTGGAACTGGCATCAAACCTGGAACTTTCTGGTCCCAAAGTATTTTGCAGTAGAACAGGATCATCCCTGGAGTACACTGGAGTACCGAGTCTGTTGCTCCAGCTACCCAATGTGAGTGCCAAGCCTCTGGCCACCTTTCCCTACATGTAAGTCAGGATCTTAATGACAATGATGATAATCTGCTCAGGCCAGGTCAGGTCATAGGTCTTTAGCCAATGTTTATCTATATTTAGTATTTACTCCATAATCAAAATAAACCAAGTGCAAAGATGGCAGGTGATAAATGTCATGCTGTGCAGCATTCGGATGCCCTTGTTGTGCCCTTACTCTTACTGATTTTCCTAGTATGTGGAGACCGTGACCTCCCGCCAGAGCGAAATCCAGAAGTTCATCGCAGATGGCTGCAAAGAAGCTCTTCTTGAAGAGAAAAGGCGCTTCTGCTTCCTGGTGGACAAGCACTGTAGCTTTGCCAATCACATACACTATTATCACCAGCAGGTAAGTGAGCTGGCAGAGTGTGCTGAGTGTGTCAGTGGCTCCATTCTGTACTCAAATGTCTTTGAGATGCCTCTCCTTCTAGATGTGCACAGTATAGAGCAATGGGCCTATTTTCCCAACAGTTCCTGGCCAACCCAAATATGTAAACTTTCAGAAATACAGACAGAATGAATAATCAGATACACCCTTATCATTAAATTAATAGTGCATCCATATTTAAAATCCCATTTAAGTAATGACACACTGAGGGCTGCAGTTGTAGCTCAGTTGGTAGAGTGCTTGCCTAGCACATACTGGGCTCCATCTGCAGCACACTGCATCAGCTGAGTATAGTGGTGCATGCCCATAATCCCAGCACTTAGAAGGTGGACATAGGAAGATCAAAAGCTCAATGTCATCCTTGGTTACATAGTGAGTTTGAGGTCTGCATGGACTACATGAGACACCCCCAGTCTCAAAGAAACAAAACAGAACAGTAAGAGGCACATTTTTTTTTCTCACCTGTAAGGTAATTTTTGGCGGGGGGGGTCTTTTTGAGACAGGGTCTCCCTGTAGCCCGAGCTGTCCTGGAACTCACTATGTAGACCAGGCTGGCCTTGAACTCACAGAGATCCGCCTGCCTCTGCCTCCCGAGTGCTGGGATTAAAGGCGTGCGCCACCATGCCCAGCATAAGGCAACTCTTTTACACATCTATGAATCCTGAGTTGACTAGGCCCAGTCTCAGGGGAACCTGAGTTGTTGTGGCTCAGTACATGGAGATCATTGGCAGCTCCACCCTGGGCCACAGACAGCTCCCTCCCCATTCGCACCCATCAGGACCCTGGGTCTTGTTACTTTTCATTCTTGTTTACAGTGTTCACTCATGATCCCCTCAACCAAATGTCTGTTTAACTCCCTCCTTCCAACACATGCAGCTGTGAGCCCAGGAATGACTACATGGCATGTTAAATTTCCCTTCCTCCTTTTTTGGTTTTCCTTTCAATTCTCTTGGGCCTATGTACACATCCAAAGCTAGCACTGATTCAGTCAAACATTCACTGCTGCTTATAAACAAGTCATTTAGAGAGTGTTCCACAATGAGAAGTTCCGCAAGAGCTTGAATGTGAATCAGCCTCCTCTCTTTTTCAAGGGGAGAATACCCTGACCTTTGTGTGCGTGCATGTGTGTGTGTGTGTGTGTGTGTGTGTGTATGTGTACATGTGTTATATAATCTGTGCTTGTAACTTTAAGGAATATGGAGCTTCCTTATCTAAACACCTAGGATCTAAAATGCTTATAACATGAAGGAAAGAATTCCTGTATTAGGTGTTCACTTTGGCATCCACAGTAGTATAGACACTTCAGTAGATGCCCACAGTGCATCTATACTAATCAGAGTAATGCTATGTAGCTTTAAAAGCACATTTCCATGATGAGGGCCTTCTTTGTGGCAGGTGACATGGTCATAGCTGTAGAGGGGTGGAAGGGACCTTGTGTTTCCTTCTACTAACAACACTCCACAATGTCAGGAGGCAACCTGGACTATTTTCAGAAAACTCTAGTTATTTGCAAAGTCTCTCTGAGACTTAACCTGAGGTCCTAGTAACTACGCTGCTTCTCTCTGTGTCAGATGCTTCTTTAGCTCTCTGCAGGCTGTTTCTCTCCCCTTGCTGTCTCTACAACATCCTGGTCCTTTCCATGGCAGGCTCCAGGTCAGTCCACAGCATGGCACTGCCTCCATTTATCAGAGTCAGAGGTGGTGTCAGGGAAACTTTGATGTTCCTCAGCCCCTCCTGATGAACCTAGAGTCTGAATGCAAATAGTGTGGATACGGAGTTCATGAGATGACTCAGTGGGTAGAGGCACTTACCACCCAAGCTCCAAAACATAAATTTGACCCCTGGAACCCACATGATGGCAGAAGGAGAGAATCAACTACACAAAGTTTTCACACACACACACACACACACACACACACACACACACACAGACACGAGTCCTCCATTAGGCCCTCTTTACCACAGGTGAACTTCCTGAGACATAATCTGGTTCATTTGTCTAACACTTGCACTCTTGGGCCTCTCACCGCAATACAGGTGCTACTTTTTTTTTGGTCTTTTTTTTTAAGACAGGGTCTCCCTGTAGCCCCACCTGTCCTAGAACTCACTATGTAGACCAGGCTGGCCTTGAACTCACAGAGATCCGCCTGCCTCTGCCTCCCGAGTGCTGGGATTAAGGGCGTGTGCCACCACGCCCAGCAGGTGCTACTTTTTAAAAGGACTTGGGGGGAAGATGGTGATTGTTATTTCTGGGGCCACAAAGAAAACAGAGGCATCATATGGATTGCTTAACTCTTCCCTGTTAGCTTTTGAATTGCTTTGACTTGTTTTTGAGGTGTGAGTGCATGTACATGCAGGCAGCATGAATGCTAGGGATTAAATCCAACATCCCATGCAACTAAGCATGTGCTCTGCCACTGGCCTACCCTCAGCTCCTGCAGGACTCTCAGTCATTAAGTTCTGTAGGCACGCTAAGGAAGGAGATACATTCCTGAGCCTGTCTCCTCTGCAGCAGGGAGCTGCAGCAGATGCTCGTGGCTGAGTTAAACTTAAAGCCCCACTCCTGGTGGGAAGTCAGAAGTATGTTAGCAGTGAAGTTTTTGTCAGTTCCTCAAGAAGTACAGTTTTGCCTCTAATTTCATTTCTTCTGGATTTATAGTCTGCAGAATTACTTAATTCCAAGCTGCCCCGGTGGCAGGAAACCTGTTGTGATGCCACAAAAGTGCCAGAGAAAATCATGAACATGATAGAAGAGATCAAGACCCCCATCTCCACACCAGTGTCTGGAACACCACAGCCATCACCCATGATCGAGAGAAGCAACATGGTAAGAGCCAGTTGCCTCATTGTGTGTTTGCTAGTATATTTGTTCATATTGTCTCAGAGGCCCGGGCCTGCCTTTGATGATAGAAACCATGAAGCATCCTTTCCTATTTCTACCCCACACATACACCTTTAGATTCGCAATTCACTGTGCAAATGTTTTATACTTTACCTAGCACTGCTATCTCTGTTTTATTGTTTCTTTAGTCCAAGTTTATGTTTATTTCCAATGAAGACGATATAGACATCTTAGAGACTAGATATAGACTAGATAACTCTGGTGTCATTCAGGAATAAAAAGTATTCAAGGTAATAAATTGAGACAGTATGGTTTTCTGCCATTTTAACCTCGACATTATTACTTCTCACAAAAACATGAAGATTTGGATCCAGCAGGTAGTGTGGTTCACCCTGTCTGTCCATCTAAAGCCCCCTGAAGTATCAGCAATGACATTAAAAACCAGCCTCCCACCTACAGCACATGAGAATGTAAGTAAAGGTGCCATCAATGGACCAGAAACACTGAACCAAGACATGCAAAGTCACTGTGTCGAGAACCAAATGGGAGCCTCAGTCCCTGAATGTGTACAGCAAAACCACTGCTGACAGGGAACAGCTTCTGGGAGCCCTGAGCTCAGAACTGAGGGAAATAAGAGAAGAAGGGGACTGAGGCATCTCTTTAGCCATTGGGGGTGGAGAAGACTGGTCAGTATGTTCCCTTTGTCCTACTTGTATCAAGCAGCAGCAACAGGGACTTTTTCTACCAGCCAGAACAGCATAATTAGACTGAAGGATATGGCAGTCTGTGGTGATGAAAATATTTGAAGTGTACAGACTTATTCACACACAATAAAATAAATGCAGGGGGCGGTGGTGTCATCTGATATCAAGAGGGACACCTGGGAGTCACCAAACAGGAAAGCACACATCATAGCCAGGCTTGGTGGCCCACACCTATAATACCAGGACTGGTACCAGCCAAGAAGGCTAAGACAGAAGGACCGTGAGTTCAACGCCATCCTGAACCACTTAACAAGTACCACCAAAAAACCAAAACAGGGATAGAGGGCTAGTTCATTGGTTAAGAGCAACTGCTGTGAGGCATGGTGGAGCATGCTTTTAATCCTAGGACTCGGGAGGCAGAGGCAGGTGGATCTCTGTGATTTCAGGGCCAGCCTGGTCTACATAGCAAGTTCCAGGATAGCTGGGGCTACAGGGAGACCCTGTCTCAAAAAAAAAAAAAAAAAAAAAAAAAGAGCAATTGCTACTCTTGCAGACAACCAAATTTTGAATCCCTGTAACCCTCCTCTGGTATCTGAGGGCACCCACATTCTTGTGCACAAGTACACACAAGACACACACACAGACACACACACATAAATATAAGTAAAAGTAATAAAAATAGGCAGAGGCAGGCAGATCTCTATGAGTTCAAGGCCAGCCTGGTCTACATAGTGAGTTCCAGGACAGCTGGGGCTACAGAGAGACAGGGTTGATTGTCATAGAAGCTAGGAGTTGGGCATGTGATGGTTTATTGAGCTGTTCTCCACTGCTTTTGTACATGTGAATTTTTTCTAAAACCAAATTATTTCCTTTCCCACTAAACCCCCTTCCCCAAATAATATCACCAGTAGATGGGCTTATCAGAAGAGTGGAACTGCTTGGGGAAAAAAATCTTTCCCCAAACCCAATGCAAAATTAGAAAAAGGACTTTTTAAAAACAAGGGAGAAAGAGGATAAATACACATTTTGACAGATAGAGCTACAGGAGATATAAACTAACAAGGATCTCCAATCCACCTTCTCCAGAGCTGCAAGGCTGATTTCTCAGCCTCACCTTGCTTGTCCAGTCTTCCCCACCCAGTGAAGGGCAGCTTCATCCTCCAGTATCTCAGATGTCAACTCTTCTGTCTGGTTGTATGCCATAATCCCCCATCAACATACCCATGTTTTTACTTTGAAAGCCCATCCCAAACCCTTCTGGATCTGTGTACTATTCCTCCCCTCTCCCACCTTCTGACATTGTCCTTAAGAAACTTACTGAAACAGCAAGAGGGATCTAATACATGCCCAGATTAGGGTTGAGTTTCAGGATAGCTAGGCTACAGAACAAATGCTAAAATGTCCTGGGAGTGCAGAGTGAGGGACTGGGGTATGTGGAGATTCATTACAGTGAATCCCATTGGTACCACAGGAAACTTAAGATGTTTTTATTAATACTAACTTGCCTAATAAGCTGATACAATATGTTCAAAATTCTCTTGAAAAAATGTTTTAAATGTAAACTCATGTAGCCAACTGGTACTTAAGAGGGAGCCTAGCTAAATGTGATAGCATATGGCTGTAATTCCAGCATTTGGGATCTGAGACAAGAGGATCATGAGTTCAAGTCCACCAGGAAGGGGCTACATAGTGAACCCCCCTCCTCTTTTTTAAATATTTTTTACTTTTATTTATACATATATGTGTGCACATATATATGTGTATGCCATGTGTGTGCAGGTGCCCATGGAGACCAAAAGGTGTCATATCCCCTGGAACTGCAGTTATAGGTGATTGTGAGCTGCCTGATGTGGATGCTGTAAATCTAATTCAGTTGTGTCCTCTGGAAGAACAGCAAGTGCTCTTATCCACTGAGCCATCTTTCTAGCCCCAAGATCCTCCCTTACTGAAAAAAAAAAGTGGGGGAGCCCAAATCTAGAGAGACAGAAAATAGATTAACAGTTATTGCAAAGGGGTGAGAGAAGGAATGGAAGGGAAACTTTTGACAGTAAAGATGCAAATGAAAGGAGAAAATAAAAAGGTGGTACTTTTGAACTAAGAGAATTTAGGGAAGAAAGTGGGATTTCAAGCATGTGATTAAAAAATAGCCCTAATGGGGCTGGAGAGATGGATCAGCAGTTAAGAGCACTGACTGCTCTTGCAGAGGACCTGGGTTCGATTCCTAGCACCCACATGGCAGCTAACAACCAACTGTAACTCCAGTTCTATGGGATCTGACACCCTCTTCTGAACTCTGTGGGCATTGTACAACACGGGTGCACTTACACACATGCAGGCAATACACTCATACGTATAAAATAAAAATTTTTTTAATTTAAAAAAACAGTCCTGGCAACCTGTATCATTCTCTGTTATTCTTTTAAATGTTTATGATTGGTTTTTATTTTATGTGTATGAATGTTTTGTCTGCATGTATGTAGATGTTCCATGTGTGTGCAATGCCCATGGAGGCCAGAAAAAGGCATTGGATCCCCTGGACCTGGGTTACAGATGGTTGTTAGCCACTATGTGGGTGCTGGGAACTGAACCCGAGTTCTCTGCAAGAGCAATCAGTGCTTTTAACCACTGAGCCACCTCTCCAATCCCCTCTGTTGTTCTAGTAATAGACTAATAAAGAATTTTGTTTTTATAGATTGGGAAAGATTATGACACCCTTTCTAAACACTCACCAAAGATGCCACCAGCTCCTTCAGTTAAAGCCTACACCAGTCCTTTGATTGATATGTTCAATAACCCAGCAACAGCTACACAGAGTTCAGAAAAAATAAATAACTCAACAGGTAAGAGATTTCATTTGATTTCTCTTATGGAACCTTTTAAAAATTTTATCTAGTTAATTTATTAATTTTTTGTGTGTGTGTGTGTGTGTGTGTGTACGCACTACATGTGTGGGTGCTGTAGAGGCCAGAAGAGAACTATATTCCCCCAGAGCTGGAGTTACAGGCAGTTGTGAGTCACCCAGGTGCATGCTGGGAGCCAAATTCAGGTCCTCTGGAAGAGCAGAAAGTACTCTTAACCTCTGAACATCTCTCCAGCCCTATTTTAATTTAAAAAAATAATAATTTGTTGAGGGCCAGGTGTGGTGGCACACACCTTTAGTCCCAGAACTTGGGAGGCAGAGGCAGGCGGAGCTCTGTGACTTCCAGGCCAGCTGGGGCTATAGAAAGACCCTGTCTCAAAAAGACCAAAAAAATAATAATTTTGTCAAATAAATATTTTAGATAAATGTAGTATGAGGGAAAAGCTGGCGGATATAGTTGATAAATCCAGCCCTGGCTTTGAATGAATTATACCTCAAAGAAATAAGGCTGGGGCTGAGAGTGTAGCTCCATGGTAAAGCATTTGTCTAACATGATGAGGCCTGGGTTCCACTGGAGTTATGGAGAGTTGTGAGAACCGAACCTAGGTCCTCTGCAAGAATAACAAGTGCTCTTAACTATTGAGTCATCTCTTGGACCCTTATTTACTTTTGTTGTTGTTGTTTTGCTTTCAGGGGCGGGGAGTTTTTGTTTCATTGGTTTGGGGCTTTTTTTGAGACAGGGTCTCCCTGTAGCCACAACTGGCTTGGAACTATGTAGACTAAGTTGGCTTTGATCTCACAGAGATCCACCTGCCTCTGCCTCCAAAGTGCCTGGGATTTAAGGTATATGGCACCACACTTGGCCTCCTATTTACTTTAAATTGTGTGTATATGTATGTCTGTGTGGGGTTATATGCATATGTGTGCAGCACCCTCAGAAGCCAGAAGAGGGTGTTTTTTTCCCCCGGAGCTGCAGTTATAGACAGTTGTGAGCCTCCTGACATAGGTGTTGGTAACAATACTCAAGTCCTCTGCAAGAGCAGTGTATACTCTTAACTGCTGAGCCATCTCTCCAGCAGGAGGGGTGTTATATTTAAAAATAGCAGTATAGACTATACATAACCTAGCTGCATACAATATTTCATATCTGAGAGCTCCTTCAAATATGATGGCAATCAAGTTGTGTCCTGAAGAGAGCCCTCAGATTATAATATTTAGCTATGGGGGGGGGGATGAGAGATTGAGATGAGAGATTTTATGGACAGCCAGGATTGCTTAGCAAGGAAAAATAATAGCTTATAGTTAGTTGTTTTTGAGGAAAGTTAAAGTTTATAATGCATTAAATGACACTGGTTCTCTTTGGTAAAAGCTAAATGAAAATTACTGGTGAACTCGTTGCTAGTGAGGTAATTAGGGGCATGTTAAAGAGATAGCAAAATGTATATTGTAATTGTTAAGGAGATATAACAATCAAGCAGGTATTTAAAATTTAATCTCCATGCAAATTTCCTGTTTTCTGGAGTGGTGCATAGCAGATTCACTTGAGATGTGACTGCATGGGCACAGTACCCAGGTGTATGGCCTGTGGGCTCAATCGCCCCCAGAGGGTATGGCTGCCATTTGCTATTTGTGTGATCTGGAGCAGTCTCAGAACTCTTGTGGGCTCCATTCTGTCAATGTCACATCAAAGAGCCTTCCAATGGAAGCTGTTGAGCTGGTGGCTGGCTGTATAGCAGTAAGACTGTCAGTGGCACCTAATGAGTTCTCAACAAAGGGAACTGTGCAGCTTATCTTTATGTACTTGGGTAAGAAGCCAGAACACCTACATTTCCAGCTTGCTCCTTCTTGTGGCACAGGACAAAGGCAATGGGTCTAAGTTGTTGTCTCTCTGCCTCTGTGCTCCAAACTGAGAGAACAACCCTTTGAAGAGAAGCCCACCTGGCTGCCATGGCACAGGTAAAGTTGCCATGGCTGGCTGGTGATCTCCCCTTATAAGCAAGTGCTCTTGGCCACAGGGCTTCTCTGCCCACTATGAAACCCCCCAGGCTGAGGCCTACTTGTTTCCTGCCACCTGGGCAATGTGAAGGACTGGAAATAGGCTACACTTAGAGTTTTCACAGAAGGGTCATGTGGGCAAGATACAAGAACAGATGGTTTTCTAGGGTTACTCATTCATATTTGCCTGCTCACGAGCATTCATGGAATCATCATTCCCATGCTCACTTTAACAGACACTGTGGAGGATCCCAGTTTACAGAGATCGGTTTCTGTTGCAACTGGACTAAATATGATGAAGAAGCAGAAAGTCAAGACCATCTTCCCTCACACTGCTGGCACCAACAACACCCTACTCAGCTTTGCCCAGGGAGATGTCATCACAGTGCTCATCCCTGAGGAGAAGGACGGCTGGCTCTATGGGGAACATGACATCACCAAAATGTAAGTTGGCTTGAACTTATCGGCACCGGGTTTCAGACTGCCCTTGCCTCAGAGTGCTGCCTGTCCTGAGTTGCAGATTGTCTGTGTGCACATAGAAACATATTGTTCATTTATAGTTTGATGAGCTGGTGTTGCTTCATCCTAAGCTGTTCTGTGTGTATGTATATATGTATAGATGAATTTGGAGCATGGATAGATTATCAGTCATATAAAGTCATTGCTGACAAAAGGTATAAGTTTTTTTTTTTTACATTTATTTATTGGATTGTGTGTGTGCTTCTGTGTGTACATATGTGAAGGTCAGAGGACAACTAGGCGGAATCAGTTCTTTCCTTCTACCATATGGGTTCCAGGGTTGAACTCAGGACATCAGGCTTGACAACAAGCACCTTTATCCACTGAGCCATCTCATTGACCCCACTTTTTTTTTTTTAAATTTGTGTGTGTGTGTGTGTGTGCACGCACGCACTGTATGTAAACAAGTACATGTGCCAAGGTGCACATGTGAAGGTCAGAGGACAACTTTGTGGAGTTAGTTCTCTCCCTCTTTCTACCTTTTACATGGGTTCTAAAGATCAAACTCAGGTCTCCAGGCTTGTGTGGCAAGAACCCTTACATGCTGAGCTATCTTGCCAGTCCAAAAGGCATTAAATGCTGTTTTTAAAAAGGTGATCGTGGGGCTGGAGAGATAGCTCAATGGGTTGAGAGCACTTTCTGCTCTTGCAGAGGATCTGGTTTTGGTTCCCAGTCCCCCACATGGCAGTTTATAACTGTCTAAAACTGTAGTTGCAGGGGATCTGGCACCCTCTTCTGGCCTCTCTGGATACTGCATACATGTGGTGCACATACATACACACAGACAAGCACTCCTACACATAAAATAAAAATAAACCTTTTTTTTTTTAATGTGACATAGAGGCTGAGAATGTGGCGCACACCTTTAATCCCAGCACTGGGGAGACAGAGCAGGCAGACATCTGTAAATTCAAGACCAGCCTGGTCCACATGAGTTCCACAGCATCCAGAACTACATAGTGAGACCTTATCTTCAAAAATAAAGAAGCCAGGTGTGATGGCACACGCCTTTAATCTCAGCACTTGGGAGGCAGAGGCAGGCAGATGTCTGTGAGTTCAAGGCCAGCCTGATCTACATAATGAGTTCCAGGACAGCTGGGGCTACAGGGAGACCCTGTCTCAAAAAGACCAAAAAAAAAAAGGGGAGGAAGGAAGGAAGAAGAGGGGGCTGGAGGGATGACTTAGCAGTTAAGAGCACTGGCTACTTTTGCAGAGGACCTGGGTTCAGATCCCAAAACCCACATGGCAGCTAACAACTGTCTGTAACTCCAGTTCCAGGGGATCCAACACCCTCTTCTGACCTCCACTGGCATTGCACAACATGGATGCACTTACATACCTGCAGGCAATATACGCATACAGATGAAATAACAATAATAACTAAAATATTTTTTAAAAACAAAGGAAAAAATGTGACAGGATTTCTCAAGGGTAATCTGTATATTATATATATTTTAAGATTTAAGACAATATAGCCAGGCATGGTGGCACACACCTTTAGTCCCAGCACTCAGGAGGTAGAGGTAGGCGGATCTCTGTGACTTTGAGGTCAGCCTGGTCTCCATAGAGAATCCAGGCCAGTAGCAGCTACAGGGAGACCCTGTCTCAAAAAGACAAAAAAAAAAAAGACTTAAGACAGTAATAAAAAATAAAATGGGATCCAAATAACATTAATGTTATGTATACATAACATGCATATGTGGGCTGGAGAGATGGCTCAGCGGTTAGGAGCACTGACTGCTCTTGCAGAGGACCCGGGTTCGATTCCCAGCACCCACATGGCAGCTACGAACTGTCCTTAACTCCAGTTCCTGGGGATCTGAAGCCCTCTTCTGACCTCCACAGCATTGCACAACACGGGTGCATTCACATACATGCAGGCAATATACTCATACACATAAAAAAATATATATAAAATATTTAAAATTAAAAAATAAAATGCGTGTGTGTGTGTATGTGTGTGTGTGTGTGTGTGTGTGTGTGTGTGTGTGTGTGTGTGTGTGTGTCCTGTGTGTTTACCTGTAAAAGCCTTATTTCATTCAGCCTGTTTGTAAGTGGGGCACCTTCCTGGGCTGTCACCAGGAAGGAGACCCTTTCATGTGAGCACTGCTTAAGCCTTAGGTACCACAGATGGGTCTTTTTTTCTCTCTGCACCTTCAGGAGGGGTTGGTTCCCATCGTCATATACAAAGTTGCTGGAAGAAAATGCAAAGGAAGCCGTCTCTGTGCCCACACCAAGGTAGGGAATGTGGCCTAGCTCTCCCAGCAACTGAAAACTCATCTTGGCCCTAATGACCCCAGACACATCAGAATTACAATTTAGATATGCAACTATCGTGGGGTTAACCTTCAGCCCTTGTGAGATAGGAACCAGTGGCTGTCCCACTGTGGTTTGTCCACTTATGGTCTATAAGCTTCCCTGACTATCTGCTGTGACAAGGACAGCCCAGCAACCTGTTTCTCACCCCTCCCTGTCCCCACCAGCCACAGTGCTAAGTCCACAGCACAGTTCTGGTCTCTTATCAGCAGCCCTTAACAGAATGGAGCATTTATTCTGAAATATTCTGTCACCTTGGGTTCTCGACCTTGTGCTGTGTTTGCTCTTTCCTCTTCCTGTATCCATGTTTAATGCCTTCTGCACGTCCTTTCACCACAAAGACATTGGTGTACCTTGGGGTCCATCCTCAGTCCTCCCTTACCTGTGCTCTCTGTGCTATTTCATCTACTTTTTTTTTTTTTATTTTTTTTATTTTTTGGTCTTTTTGAGACAGGGTCTCCCTGTAGCCCCAGCTGTCCTGGAACTCACTATGTAGACCAGACTGGCCTTGAACTCACAGAGATCCACCTACCTCTGCCTCCCAAGTGCTGGGACTATAGGCGTGCGCCACCACGCCCGGCCCTCATCTACTTTATTAAAAAATCATTGTATTTGTTTATTGGGAGAAGGGGGCATGTGCTACAGCACATGTGCAGAGGTCAGAGAACAACTTGCAGGAGTCAGTTCTTCTCTTCTACCATGTGGGTTTCAGGGAATAAACTCCGGTCAACAGGCTTGGCAGCAGTCACCCTTACCCACAGAGCTACTCACCAACCCTGTTTCATCTCCTTCCATACCTCCAGCCAGTGACCCTCCATTGTCACCTCTGTGCTAACCCTAAACCCTAAATCTGCAGTTCAGTCTAGATTATTATAGAAGATATTGCTATCTTTTAGACACAGTCCCAAGTGCCTTATATTGTTTAAGCACATTGAATTCTCACAAACCTATGAGATGGGCCTCCACTTGAAAACAGAGGCACAGGAAAGTTTAGAACTTGCTCAGGGGCATATATCTAAGAGTGCAGATCCAAAATGGGAACTCAGGAAGAATTCTTCCATACCTAGCTGTAGATATCTATATGTATCTTAGGTAGTTCTAGCTGGGCCCTCAGGAATAATGTGCCCAAATTGAACTGGTCATCCTTACCCTAAACTGCCTCACATGTGGTACCCTTTGTCTTCTGACCTCTTAACCCATCCAGCTGTCCAGGTGGACCCTCGAACACCATGATCAGCATCCCTCAGGTCCTCTCCTCATTTAGTAATCTCCATTTGTTCCTCCCTAGAAGAATCTAAAATGTCATTGTGCTAAGAAGGAAAACTAAGTGTTTTGTGGGGTGGGTACTGTTGTTGTTTGAGACAGGGTTTCAGTATATAGCTAAGCCAAACACAAATGTATATAAACATGTACACATGCATATAAACTAGTGTGTGTGTGTGTGTGTGTGTGTGTGTGTGTGTGTGTGTGTGTGCAATGCAGTGTTGTAAGCTCCCTCCTTCACCCTTTTTGATTTGAAACTCTGTTACTCTAGCCCTTGGCTATGGGGTGTTTGGGGCATCACGGCTGTGGGGGTGGCAGGACTTTCTCTGACTTTGCCCCCTTAACTTTTGGCTTGGAGCCCTGTGCCTGTGAGAAGCATGAGCACTGTGGACTTGACTGAGAAGAGCAGTGTGGTCATCCCCCCTCCCGACTACCTGGAGTGCCTGTCCAGGGGAGCCACCACAGACAAGAGAGCAGATGCTGCCAAGACTACTTCCACCTTCAAAGGCCCAGTGTCCAGGTCAGATACTACATCCACATCTCCGGTGAGTGTTGACTGGAGGCCTCAGCTGTAGAGACTGGCTCTGCTCCTGGCTGATGGGGGATGAGGGCATCATTTTCTTTGTCCCTTTCAGTTCCCTTCATCCTCACAGAGCATATCCTCCCTAACTCTAAGCCTTCTTTCCTTTTTACTTTGTCTTGTCCAGGACAATGGACAGGTGACATCCTAGTTTTCTAGGTCTTATTGAGGCTTTCATCTTTTGTCTCAATTATAGTCTTTTACTCATCCAATCCCCTTCCTCTGCATTTTCTTCCATTTCCTCTTGTTTTCTGAAGGAGGGAGGGTAAGATTAAAACTGGGAATGTCTTCTCTCAAGAACGTACTTTGTAAAAGCCAATGTGCAAACACTGGATCTTTAATCCTAAACCACCCCTAAGGACAGTGGAGGGATTGAGTTCCTAGCTACTTCCTGGCCCTTGACATCTGCAGATGGAGCATCTGCAGAGCACCAGGCACACTCTGGGCTCTAGATAACAGGCCCTAGCTCCTTTGGAGCTTGTGTCCTAGACCTAGGAAGCAGATAATAAGCCAAAATAGGATAAAAGCCATGCTGAGAATGAAAACAAGGTGAGCTATAGTGGGGTAGTTAGGGTGACATGCCGGGTGGATGTGACAAGTTAGGTTTGCCCAGAGGTGGAGGGGATGAAAGAACACTGAGGTGAGATGGTTCTTTGTTTCTCTTATTTCTTTCTTCCTTTCTTGCTTGCTTGTGTGTGTGTGTGTGTGTGTGTGTGTGTAAGACAGTCTTACTATGTAACCCTGGCAGACCTGAAATTCACTATATAGACCAGGCTGGCCTTGAACTCACAGAGATCTGCCTGCCTCTGCTTTCTGAGTGCTGTGACTAAAGTATGTGGCAGCAGAGGTTCCTGGGGAGCAAGGGCAGCCCATTAGCAGCATTCCTGCTTCTGAGAATCAACCCCTCTGGCCTGAAGGAGGACAGGCAGCATGGAGAAGCATATATAACCATGGTCTTTCCAAAATGACGTTTTTTTTGGGGGGGGGTCTTTTTGAGACAGGGTCTCCCTGTAGCCCCAGCTGTCCTGGAACTCACTATGTAGACCAGGTTGGCCTCGAACTCACAAAGATCCACCTGCCTCTGCCTCCCAAGTCCTGGGACTAAAGGCGCGCGCCACCATGCCCAGCACCAAAATGACATTTAAACTGTGATGATGAGGAGCCATCATATCAGGAGTCCAGGGGAGATGTGTATGAGACAGAGAGCAGAAGACTTAAACACTGTGTGTGCTAGGCATACACAGGAAACAGCTAGGGGATGATAGGGTGGTGCTTGGTCAGGGGGACTTCCTATTCTCCTGATGTTTCTCTTCAATGTAAGTTATACAGTAGAAGAGGAGGAAAAGATGGAGAAAAGGAAGATGGCTGAGAAGACAGGGTGGGCCCAGGCACAGGATCCCACTGTGCACTCCTAGTATCCAGCCTGAGAGAAGGCAGGGCATGACATTGGCTTAGCCCAGGATGTCCTGTCTGGCTACTTCTGTGTTCTTGGTGATAAAGGAAGATCACCCAGCTGCTAAGGTGAGTTCAGGCATCAAGCAGGTTTGACAGAGCAGATGTGTAGAGTGAGAACATGTACACAGGGCAGGAGAGCAGAGCAGGAAACACCATTCACCCCTTAAAGTTGCTGGTTGTGATCTGAAATAGTCACTACGTTACTCAGTACTCATGTTCAGATGAGAAGTGCAGTCATGTGTAGCTTACTGATGGGATGCACTCTCAGAAACATGTCATTGGGGGTCTTGTGACTATGAAAACTGATGGGATATGTCCTAGCCTAGCCCAATGGTGAATACTATGGTATACACAATCTGTCATCACTCAGATGCCTCATGCATGACTGAATAGCTAGGGATTAACTCAGGTCATAATCCTGGGGAGGGGGATGGGGAGTTATGAGGGTGTGGCCATGGTTATCTGAGACTGAAGAATCCACACTGGCTAAGGAGCCAACCTGAGATGTGAATGGGATAGGGCAGCTGGGGATGTCTCCTTGAGTTGTGTAATTTCAGCACTGAGAAAATTGGAAGAAGCTGAAAAGTGAGGGACTGAAAGTAGGAAACAGTGCTGGACTCGGGAGGACAAGCAGCAGAAAGTGTGTTCAAGGCTGCAGTACAGCCAGATGTGGACAAAGCCAGATGGAACCAAAGCCTGTCCAGCTTGTGTTTGCCCCACCTTCCTCAGTGACCCTTCACCAGGGTACTACTGGTACCTGGAATAGCAGGTACAACGGAATCCATGCCTCTTTTCACTGCTTTTTTTTTTTTTTTTTTTAGCCACCCTGGTTTCCTTTCTTAAAAAATAATTTTAAGCTTATTTTAAATTATATATATATATATGGGGGGTGTACCACATGCATGCAGGTGCCTACGGAGTACAGAAGAGGCCATCAGATCCCTTGAACTGGACTTAACAGGTGGTCATGAGCCACCTAATGTGGGTACTAGAACTGAGCACAGGTCCTTTTTAAGAATAGTACATGTTGTTAGCTGCTGAGCCAGTTCTCCAGCCCTCAATGGGGTCCTTTCTTTAGTGTACATATACCCCCACCACTTCTCAATGGAAGTATGTAACTCCACAGTTTAACCCTGCAACAGAAACCAGTTTCAAAGTGGCTTTTGTTCAGCAGTATGTGGTGCACAGGTAGAGTCTGTCAGCTGTATAAAATTGGGTCCTCTATCAAAAGTGCCCCTGTTTTCTCATGAGTCTTGAGTGTCTTTGGGATGTAGACCTTCCTCTTCTGCCTCTTCCTCACTATAAGGCACAGGTTTTTTGTGGTGGTTGTTGTTATTTTGGGGTTCTTTTGGTTTTTGTTTTTAGACAGGGTCTTCCTGTAGCTCCAGCTGTCCTGGAACTGACTAGGTAGAGCAGGCTGGCCTTGAACTCAGAGATCCACCTGCCTCTGCCTCCCGAGTTCTGGTATTAAAGGCTTGCCTGGCTCATAAGGCATGTTTTGATCCAGGAAATGGAAGCTTCCGAAATCCTGCTCCACATTTCTTCAGCTTCCTCCTTGGACAGCATACTGTACCTCGTAATGTGTCTCATTCCAGGTTATTCCACGTCTGACTCCAAACCTTATTTTCACAAAAATGCCATGGTTCTTGAAAACAGAGAATGAAAGTTCTTTTTGGTTGAAGATAGTTTTTTATAAATGCACTGAGGAGGACTGTCATGAGTTCAAAGTCATCTTGGGCTACATAGTGTATCTCAAGCCAGCCTGGGCTGCAGGGTGAGACCTTATCTCAAAAAACCAAACAGGCCAAGCTTGGTGGCACACGCCTTTAATCCCAGCACTCTGTGAGATCTGCAGATGTGAGTTCAAGGACAGCCTGGTCTACATAGTGAGTTCCAGGACAGCTGGGGCTACAGGGAGACCCTGTCTCAAAAAGACCCCCCCCAAAAAAACCAAACCAAACAAGTACATGTCACAAATCTTAGAGAATAGCATATGGGGCCCATTGTCCATGTGTGGGCTGAGTCTATTGTGCTTTTGTTTTTTGTTTCAATTTGGGGGATGAGCTTCAAGTTTTTCTTACAGAAACTTCAAATACACACATGCAAATATAATAATGACCCCACTCCCAGCTTTAACAGTTATCAGTTCACTTACCAGCCTGTGTCCTCTCTACCTTGCCCAGTTTATAGCCAGTGCCAGACAATATGAAGATTGAAAAAAGAAAGTTCATTTTAAAATTATAATGACAAGACTAGTGTCATATCTTTTTAAATTGACAAATTTATGAACATAATCAAATAATCAGTTATAATTTCTGGTGGTGTCATTAAGATATTGTAAAATATTTATAAAGCCAGGTGTAGTGGCACATATCTGTAATCCTAGTACTCAGGAAGTAGAGACTGGAGGATCAGAAGTCCAAGGTGTGATCCTCAGTTACTTAGTGTCAAGGCCAGCCTAGACTAGAGAAACTGTCTTGAAAAATGGGTAGCTATAGAGATAGATGTGTAGTTTATATTATAGTCATTTGAATCTGGATCCAAATCAGCTCTAGACTTTGTAACTGGCTGAGAAGTTTCATGATGATCACCTAATTGTATAATATGTTTTAAGCAAAAACAAACAAACAAACGAAACACTGCCCAAGTCAGGCCTGATGACAGATGCCTATAATCTCAGCTCCTTGGAAGACTGAGGCAAAAGGATTGCAAGTTCAAGTCCAGACTATTTTAGAGACCTTTGTTTCAAAATAAAAAATAGCTCCCTGGTAGAGTCCTTGCCTAGCACATACAAGACCCTGAGCTACAGTAACAAAAACAGAACTCCCACACAGTGACAGCTGCCAGTTTGTTTGTTTGCTACTTTGCACTGCTGAGGATTGAACTCAGAGCTTTGTACTTGTTGAACATGTACACAACTGAGCTACATCCCCAGCCAGGTACCAAGTAAAAACTTGGGTTTTGTGGTGTTTTTAAAAGAGATTTCTGGGCTGGAGAGATGGCTCAGCGGTTAAGAACACTGGTTGTTCTTGCAGAAGACCTGGGTTCGAATCCCAGCACCCATATGGCAGCTAACAACTGTCCATAACTTCAGTTCTAGGGGATCCCATGGCCTCTTCTGTCCTCACGGGCATTACGACACAGGGGTGCACTTACCTACAGGCAGGCAATACACTCATACACATAAAAATAATAAAATATTTTTTTAAAAAAGATTTGTGTGTGTGTGTGTGTGTGTGTGTGTGTGTGTGCGCGCGCGCGCGCACACCTGCAGTGGCTGACAGAAGGCATCAGAACCTCTGGAGCTGGAGTTACAGGCACATGTGAGCTGCCCAACATGAGTTCTGGGAGTCAAACTCTGGTCCTCTGGAACAGCAGAAACTCCCTTACTGCTGAGCCATCTCTCTGGCCCCCAAAACTTATTTTTGTCTTCAGTATTTTTACCATATGGATCGAGAGGGATGACAGAGTAGTTCTCAATAGAATGAAGAAATTTAAATGTCATTAAAA